AGAAAACGCTTCATGATTGAAGAATTAGTAGATATTTGGACCAGAAACAAGACACAAACTCAGTAACAAAACAGAACAATAGACTTATAGAATAGACTAGATTTAGTAATTAGATTTATTTATATACTGCTATACTCTGATGGCTTTAAATACTTCTCAATTGTAAGTGACTTTGGATAAAAGCATATACTATATGAGTAAATGTAAACAAACTGCAAAAAATATCTTTACTATTTCTCACCCAAATATCTTAAATCAAGAAGCATTTTCTAGATGAGTAAAAAATATGATCTTGCTTTCAGAAATAATGAGCCAAAATTAAGTGAATTGTTCCTTGAAACAAGCAAAATAATCTTGTTTTTGCTCAGATTTTGACTATTTCTGAAAACAAGACAGTATTTTTGAGTTGTGCAAAATGCTTCTTGATTTAAGAATTTTTAGCTATTTGGAATAGAAACAAGACAAACATTTCCTGCAGTGTATCTTCTTTTTTTATATGTATTGGTAAGTGTGTGAAGGAACCTTTAATAGCGAGCTCTTCCTCCAGCTTGAGCCTCCACACCTCCACCTCCTCCTCGATGTATCCTCGCTCAATATCCGCCGCTCCTTTCTCTGCGGTCAGAGCTTCGATCAGATCCCGCATCTCCTTAAACTTCAGCTCGTATTCATCCGCCAGTCCACTCGGCCCTCCTTTAAACCGGCCCTGCAGAGCGTCCAGCTCGGCCCTCAGCGCCGCGTTCCTCTGCTCCAGCGCCTGGACCTTCCCGATGTACCCCGCGAATCGCACATTCAGCTCCTGCATCTCTTCTTTCTCATTGGAGTGGTGCTGATGGATCTCCGTGTCCAGCTCCACCGGTTGACCTTGGTATCCCGATCGGCCCCGGGAATACGAGGACCCGCGGCATCGGGATGGGGACGGACTCTGGACCCTCATCCTGCTAGAATTGCTGACGCTCAGGGTTTTCTGAGAATACGAAGTTCCTCTCATGTTTGCAGGAGTCGTCCGCTGTCTGATCCTGGCTGGCTCGCCACAATATGAATCCGCTCTTGCTTATTCCGGGCGTTTTTATACTGCGCTGAAGAATCTGGCGAGGGCCCTTGAAAGTCTTACAGGCTTCTGCCATGTTTTAAAAGCAGATCATGACACTGCTGTCTGAGATTGAAAGGTTGGAGATTCTCATTAGCTCACATGTCATTGCCATCAATTAGACGTTTGGAGGTTTCTCGCAGCTCAGCGCTACATTTCTGAACATCGGCGTCTCTGCTGTAATTCAGCAGTGTTTCCAGATCAGCTCAGAGACACTTCTGCAATCTGTTCCTTTCTTTGGGTGAGTGTAAATTTCACACGCTCTTGGCGAAGACATTAAATGTAGTATTTATGCTGTGACGACTGATGTTTAGAAGCTTTGGAAAGTTTCACACTATGCTACTAAAATGTTGGCCTCAGTTCAGGCTGAAATGTAAATGTAGTCATCATTTGCTGTTGTTTTAAAACTGTGTTGAGCACACAGAACGGAACAGAGAAGACTGCTGGAAGTATTTTTATTTCTACTATGGGTGTCAATGCACTGTAAACCCTAACAATGTCTTTACTTAATTAAGTAAAGTTGACTGAACATAACTTAAAATTTAGCATTTTGGTCCTATCATTTAAAAATTTGAGTTAATTTAATTTATGTACCATGAAAATGCATGAACTTAAGATTTCAAGTGTAGCGAGCTCAAAATCATGATTAATCCTTTGAAAAAAATAGGTCATTTTCACAAATGTGGTCTTGACTGTAAAATTCTAATATGTGCATCCTTTTAAGTGCAAGGTCTTCTTTTTGACAGAACTAAATTAACTGAGTAAACTCTTTGCCTCAATTTAATTGAGTCATGGATTCTCCCAAAACTTGTATATTTAAGTTTATTTAACTTGCCGGTTTTGTAGACTACACTTAAATTGTATAATTTAATAGTACTAAGTTTGGTCAACTGAACAATTGAAGTATAGTCTACAAAACCGGTAAGTTAAATAAATTTAAATGTGCAAGTTTTGGAAGACTCCATTACTCAAATAAATTGAGGCAACGAGTTTACTTAATTAATTTAGTTTAGTCAACTTACTAGGGTTTTCAGTGTGGGTGACATATTTATATTATGACGCATTTAAGCTGTGACGACTAATATTTAGAGGCTTTAGAAAGTTTCTCACTACACTCCTATTACATAAGACTCTAAATTTAAGAGGAACATGATGCTTTCTGTACCAAAGAGAAATGAACTTTGGAAAGAATATTCCTTGAATGTGTGAAATATTAACTATTTATAATTTATGAAATGTCCTGCATTACTGTAAAACCCTACATACTACAAGTACAATGCAAAAACTATTGTTAATATGTTTTTTTCTGGCAAAACATGTCATATATATTTACACACACACAGTTGAAGTCAGGATTATTAGCCCGCATGAATTATTCGCCCCCCTGTTCATGTTTTCCCCCAATTTCTGTGTAACGGAGAGCAGATTTCTCCAACACATCTCTAATCATAACAGTGTTCATAACTGATCTCTAATAACTGATTTATTTCCTCTTCATCATGATGACAGTAAATAATATTAGACTAGATATTCTTCAAGACACTTCTATACAGCTTACAGTCACATGTAAAGGCTTCACTAGGGTAATTAGGGTAACTAGGCAGGTTAGGGTAATTAGGCAAGTTATTGTATAATGATGGTTTGTTCTGGAGACTATGAGAAACAAATATAGCTTAAAGAGCGAATAATATTGAGCTTAAAATGCTGTTTAAACAATTAAAAACTGCTTTTATTCTAGCCCAAATAAAACTAATCAGACTTTCTCCAGAAGAACAGATATCATCAGACACACTGTGAACATTTCCTCAATCTGTTCAACATCATTTAAGATATATTTAAAAAAGAAAAGAAATTCAAATGGGGTGAATAATTCTGACGTTAACTGTATTGTTTAAACCACTGGCCTAAATAGAGAACTGATTCCTGCCTCATCCTCGTTCTGTCGCACACATTGCATCTGTCCACCTAAATGTTACAGCGTCCCACTTAGTCATCTTAAACTCGTAACATTTATTATATCTTTTGATTCCTTCTCGCACTAGCAGCTGAGCCCTTACCTCTGTATGGACGGCTTTTCCTCTGTTACCAGTTTGTCCAGTGGCTCACAGTGTACATCGGCGGACCCGAGATGCAGAGAGGAGTTAACCGCGATGATGGAGTCTGATGAAGAACGCTTCTAGAAAACAGGTAACTAAGACGAAAAAATAAATAAGATAAAGTAAACAAGTAACAGGGTGAGAATGTGGTAAATTATGAAAATGTGGTAAAAATCAGGAGACTTTTCTTTTTCTGGATCGCTTTTTAAAACACTATCAGTTGGGGTTGGGGAAGGGGGTGTGTGTGGGGGGTCGGTCAGTCAGTCAGTCGACAGCGGCCTCTGGTGGATTTACGTGAGAACAGCAGGCGTGTACGGCACTCAAGAGAGAAATTTGAGATCTGAAAAAGCGTACACAGCGCCCTCTGGTGGCTTCCCAAAAACAAAACTGCAAAAAAACGTAGCTCCTGGAAAATATTTGCCGTTCTCCAAAAATGTACATGGCGGTATGTTTTCAGAATGAGCCTGGGTTGTTAGAAGCTTTAGAAAGTTTTACAGATACTAAAATGACTCTGAATTGAACATTCTGACATAATTTACTCTTGTTTCAAACATGTTTGAGTTTCTTTCACACAGAGAGATATAGTGATGCCAATGCTGGGCACATTGACCATTGTATTTTATTTCTGCTGTGGAAGTCAGTGGCTGTATTTTGTCAAGGGCACTTGAGTGTTGTCATTAAATGTAGTAAATGTAATATTTACACTATTCTTTATACAGTTTCCCGCTACACTACTAAAATCTGAAAGACTCTTAAAGGCACAGTTCAGACTGTGTTTGTGTGTGTGAGAGTGACTGTGTGTGTTAGAGTTTGTGTGTGTGTTTAGGAATGTAATTGTCTCATGAGAATGTTACGCTGACCAATGAGTGTTAATAGCTATAGTTGACACACACACACACACACACACACACACACACACACACACACACACACACACACACACACACACACACACACACACACACACACACACGCACACACATAGACACACACACACATATATACACACATTCTCACAGACACACACACACACACACACACACACACACACACACACACACACTTCAGTGTTTGGTGTGTTTTCAGTCACATGATCATGTTAAAATGTAGATCATCATCCTCATCATCATCAGTCTCTTTATTGACAAACTATTTTGCATCATTAAGACATGTCTAATGTTATTGTCTATTGTTATTGAAGGTCAAAGGTCATGCAGGAGTAGATGATGTCATCAAGATTAATTTTTCATGACTGTATTAAGTATTGCTTTATTTACAGGGCACTTATTTAAGAGTAGTTTGTGGTTTTTAAGGTCATTTAGAATGAGTAAATAAATATTGAATAAACGATGCAAATCAACATTTATACATCTTATGACTCCAGCATACAGTAATAGTTACACTGCATGTTAATAAATAAATTATTTACTTCTTAATTTAAAGTATTGACTATTTATACTTTGTAAATCTTTTATAAATGACAATGAAATGTTGTAAAGTCGTATTCTACACAGAAAAACAGTGCTTCACAACAATACTAGTCATTTCAAGATACAGAAATTAAACTACAGCTGTATTGAATGAATAAATATTTGCAAACTTGTCTAAAATAAAATTTAACTCTAGAGTTTAAACAACACTGAAATGTCTCATCATCATAATATATTGGTCGATTATTAGATTTTGTTGTATTTTGACATGCAGTGTTTGTGTCGTCCAGCAGGGGGCAGAATCACA